TGTGTGTGTGTGTGTGTGTGTGTGTGTGTGTGTGTGTGTGTGTGTGTGTGTGTGTGGCCAGGAAAGCAGGCCTTAGCCAATGTCAGCCCACTAGGGTGAAGACAAATTGGTTTTCACTGTCTGTCTTTTCTTGTCTCATATTCTCAAACTATCCCTTTCTTCTCCTCGCATATCTCACCACCAACTCAAAGACAATCATTCACGCTTTCTCTTGTACAAGTCTACAGCGCTTTTTCTCCTCCTGGTAATCTTTTGTTCCACCTCTTTTTATTTCTCTCTCTGCTCATCATTTCATCTCTGCAAGCTGAGCTGTTAGATGAGCTGCATAGACGCTGACTGTTGCCAGATATGAGTAAAAACTCCCTCAGTTGCAGCCATAGACATGAGCAAATTCATCCAAGCTAATCCAGGCGCCTGTTGTGTTTATCTGGGGTGAGATGGATGGGAAAGGGCCTGGAGTGGGGCTGCTGGGGAGAGTAAGGGTGCAGCCCTATAAACATGACGAGACAGTTGCTCATCTGTTGCTTATTCTCATCCACATGCTCGGTATATAACATTGAACATAAGTTGTATTATCTGTGACACTTGGCATTAGCTACAGTTTGTTTGTCATCAACATATGAACACAAGCTTTGATCAGAAAAGGGTGCAGCATGACAGTGATTTAGCATGCATCTCGTGACCTCATCGCAGGCTTGTCAGGTATTGGCAGGGGGACACGGCTCACCTACTCTAGCTCATCGCACTCCCGTCTCCCTGTCCCTACCTCCTGCTCCCCTTCCCTCCGTCCCTCATCCCTCTGTCTTGCTCCTCCCTGATAGCTTTTACCGCTCTGCTGATTTCACAAATAGGCCTCATTGATTGAATCTGATTCTTGTGGATAGAGCAGCTTTATTGAGTGGCTTTTTCACTGATGGACAGGAGCGTGTGTGTGAGTGTTTGTTACTCACATGTGCGTGTTAGGGATGATAAAGGAAAACTTCCTTTCCTCATTCCTCCTATTGTATAAACCAGCAGCTATTCCTCTCCCGGGAATTCCAGCAGACAGATCATCCCAGACACAGACACAAACACACCACCGTCTACACACAAAGTCCTCGTGACGTCTCCGTCTGAGTGAATGTTTTATTATGGGTGGTGCATTCACTCTGAGGAGTCAGTGAGTTGTGGTGACACCTTGAGCGAGGCAACATTAAAGTGTTAACTGCTCTCTCTGGCACTGTTCGTCAAACATTCATCTGAGCTGTGCTTCTGCTGCAGGAAGCTGGCCCAATCCAACCGGGGCTACACATTTGAAGTCAGTCCACTCCAGCTGTGACGCCACCATTATCTTTAGTTTTCTCCTGATCTGCAGCCATTTTGAATCCCCTACCCTACTGGTTGTGTACTAGTGTAAACCAGGGCGCTAACACTGTACCACAGAGAACAATAACTGAGAACAGTAGGAACACTTTTCAGCAGGGAATATGTGTTTTGATGGCGGGGGGGGAAATTGTGCTCGTTTCACATGTAAAACAGAAATGATAGGGTTTGGGAGCTTTAGCTAACAAACTGTTTGTGAGAAGATGGAGCTATATCATCTGCACTCCACTGGGGATACACACATTTCACACACAGCAGCGCACACCTCATCCTTGCAGCAGCATCTGTGCTCTTCCTCTCTCGCTGCCCTCTATTTCGTGTGTCTCTCCTCTCAACAGGAAGTGTGCCACCTATGCAAAGTTGGATAGATGGTGGCGTCCTCTTACCCCGCGCTCATTTAACCCCCACAACCCTGCAGATCCATCATCATTCAGCACACACAAGCAGCCCTAACACACATATCTCTGCGTGCAATTGTCCTCAGCCTGCAGCCTTTTGCTGAGCTACCCACATTGTTCTCCCTTTCAAACATTCTCTCTTGTGAGAAACCAAGCCCCAAATGTGCTCATTATTTTGTCTAATTTAAAAGGTCAGTCTTCTCACAAAGTATTTAAGTGTAGCCACGAAGGATCTGTAGTTCTCTGGTTTGCACTCGTACTTCAGGAATACACCTTGTTCATGAGGACATCCTGTGCTTCATGCAAGAGGAACGACTAATTAGCCATTTAAAGGATTGTTGGGAGACAGCAGGCCTGTGTGCCAGGTAAAGCTAGCTAGCAAAGAACGGATTCATCATTCATGGATTTGAGTTTATACAGCTCTCCATACAAAGACTCTTAAAAGTAAAAGCAAATGTTTGATTAATTGTTACAACAGATGTTTTAAGCTTTGAAGACTTTACACATTCAGCCCCTTCTTATGAATTTCATCTGGAGAAGTTGTGTTCTATATTTTGTCTTTTCCTCCCCTCCCCACACATCTTTCAGCGTTGTCTAGAAAGTCGGCTTGGCCCACTTCCAAAGAACAACTGGCAGAGTTTTTGTGAGATACACATACACACGCAGAAAGACAAAAGGGAAAGAGCAGCTGTTTTTATTATGTGGTGGCAGCCTTTTTTCAGTCAAAGCTGTAGAGGGCAAGTTCTGATTTAGTGTTTGGATGTAAATAAGGAGGAAGATGGAGAAGAGAAAGTAACAGTGATTGGAAATTGTTTTCAATAATGGTAACTTGCTCTCTTTCAGTTAAGCGGCTGTTTTAGGGATTGTTCATTTGTTTGTCTACGCATGTTTACATATTAGGGATTACAGCATCTAATCAGTTGTGATCATGGCTGTCCATTCAGTAGGATTTATTTGCCAATGTCACTACCCGATCTGCAGCCCTGCCCTATCTGCAGTGCGCATGTGCGAGATGGTCCGCTATATTTGACAACTACCGTACATACGGCAACTCTAATAGGACACTTGACACAGTGGCGTTTGGCAAAGCAGAAAAATAACACTCAAAAGACCTGACAATATTAATCTGAACGAGAGAGATTAGTTATTGTTATTGCAACGTGACTTCACTATTATTGAACAACTCCTTTTTATTGGGTCATTTTATTTGGTTAAGTACATTGTCAGAATAAGTGAGAAATTGATTTAACTTCTGTTAGACAGCTATTATACATACTGAAGAAATATTGACTGTGAATGTATGCAATATGTATGGCATTCATAATTTATATCTAATTACGTTAACTGTGAATGTCCTTCATTTTATTTCAAATAAAATAAAATAACATCTTTTATATAGATATTTGAGACGTTTATGACTCCGGGCAGCCGTCACATGTCCTATTAGAGTTGTCGTATGGAGTTGTCCAATATGGCGGACCATCTCGCACATGCGCACTGCAGATCGGGTACAGCCAATATTAGCAATGCTTGCCATTGACCGACGCCATGTTAATTAGCCTATAATGGTTATCATTGTTGACACAGCATGTGAAGTTGTTCTCTGTGAACCTCTGAGGTTGTTAAGGAGGAAACGTAATGTAGCTTGGCAAAGGGTTACCTGGGTTTTTGCACTGTTATAGGTTTTTAGATTCAATTTGTGTAATTCTAGTTTCTATATTTAACCTGTGAATGTAGTTAACAAAAATGTGGGGATTGCCTTGATATAGTTCTGAACACAATTAATAATGAATTGATAATACATTTGAAGTACATTATGTGTGTACACTAATCAGTAGTGTTGACTTTAGTTGCCTTGTGTCTGTTTTTGTAGAGTAAAGTGATATAGTTTGGTAAAAACTGAGGTTTCCCCATGAAATGAAAACAGAGCCAGAGCAGAGAAGAGAAAGAAAGCAGTAGAGATTTCCGTGCTTCATTAATTGGCAGCTCTGTGGTACACTAAACATTACACAGACACACACAGTTGAATAATGTGAGTGCTCTGAAGCCACTGCCTTATATTTAGTCAAGGGAGGCCAGCCTCTGTCACCTTTTCTCTTGCTTAACCTCGCTCTTTCTCTTCCTCTCTCTGTGGCCGTGTTGAAGAGGAGTCTCATGGGAGGGCTTAACTCTGAGCCCTCATTCTTTTTTCTTTTCTTTCCCTCTCCCCTTCCATGTCTTTCTTTCCTTATCATCCTCTGAATAGAGCTGCATACTGTTGTTAAACTTGGTCCAGGAGACACAATCTGTGCAGAGATAGAATAGAGAACTGAGGAGTTCACTATCTACCATCCTACCACCTAACAGGCCTTTCTCTGTGTGCCCTTGATGTGTTCAAGTGCAGATGCACAATGCAAAAGCCACCTTTTTTGTATTTGTGAGTTGAAATGATAAAGCATTTTAATCTACCTTTTTAATAGCAGTCAATAGTTCACTTAAGGTGGAGCCGAGGGCACCAAGGCATGCTGTCTCTGCACCCTTCACTTTGGAGTCATTCACATAAGGGCCTGCTTAAATAACGGTGTACAACCTGGAAAATCACAGGAGCTGTTGTGTTGTCATGGTTATTGAGTGTTTGGTAGCTTCAGGGGAAATGGAGTTTGGGGGTGGAGGTGTGGGAGTGCAGAAAGGAAAGGGGGAGGAATGAATGGGTGTAAGTAGGAGGGGGGTACTATCTTAATTGCTTTCCGAGAATAATTTCGGTCCCCTAATTTGGCGATAATGACAGTGGCTGCGGCTTTTGTATTTATTTATCCAAACATTAATTGACAGGACTGACATTAGCCTGGGCGTTTATTGCGAATTTGATTGCGCACAAGGGAGCAAAGAAAATTACAGTAATTATCCTTCTGATATGGATTATGAATATGCATTCCCACACTTAATGTGTCTGTCAGCATTTTGGTAACAACACAGCACTTTGCCATGACAACAGCACTTTAGCTTATCTCAATCTTTGTTTCCCTAAATAAATTCCCAATCCAAGCGGTGCTGGAGGAGAACAGATGACATGCATTGTCTAAATGATTTAGCTGCCCCACTGTAGATCTCTAACGACGCCCGGGCATGTAGTTTGGTGAAATGGTCGTCATGTGGCTTGTTTCAATTGGCCTATAAAGGGGCCTCAGCTTGTGAAATTAATTGGAATTAGTGTGTGGTGTGTTATTGTGAACGGACATTAAAGTTTCTGTTTTTCCACAGGCGGAGGGAGAAGACAATTTGAAGAAGATGCAGCTGATGGAGCTGGCCATTCTCAATGGGACATACAGGGACAACAACCTCAAATCACGTAAGTGAGCCTCCATGCACACGTCGGCCACAGTTTCATATATTCACCATAAACAACTAATCTTTTAACATCATTGACCTTACATATTTATATATATTTGTTCTGTAGTTGGCATTAATTAATACTGTATACCTTTTTTTAAATAATGTCTAGTCTTAACTACTGTGTACATACGATGTTTTATTTCTCACCACTAGCAGAACTCTTCTCTCTCAAGCTCTCCAAACATGTTACCTACTCTACTCCTCCATGAGTACACCAACTTCCATTCTGTTCTACTCCGTATTTCTTTCCTCTCCATCCATTCCTCCATCCATCCCCCCCCTGCAATCCAGAAGCCATCGCTCTGTGTCACTTGCTTTTTTGCGGATGCTAAACTTTCAGCACATTGCTCCACTCTGCATGTTGGTCACTAGCTCACATATCGACAGGGTTTGCTCCTCAATCACCAATTTCTAAATGCATAATCACATCCTGGATCTAAATATATAAAAAAGATTTAAAGGCCAAAATATTTCATCATCTAACATATTAGTTAAAGACTAGTGCACTTACTCTCTGGACCCTTTCCTCATAATTATCATCAAAAATGTAATTCAGATGTCAAAAACTGGGTTTTTCTGTATTCTATTTGTGTGCAAATGTATGAAATGAAACTAGAATTGATTAATTTCACGGTTTCATTTTCCTAATTTAACATCTGCTAATATGTTAACCATGATGAACTGGCCCACCATCTAACCGTAGTTACCATGGCTCGGGAATAAATTGACCTGCCTTTGGGGAAGCTTGTGTGGCACAGCTCACGGTGCGCGCTGATGCAGAACCACTTGAAAAAATGATCTTTGTGTTCATTTGTACTTTCTCCAACTTAAATAGACTGCTGACTATGTGTGGGATCAACATTTTATAAGTTGTAACAAATGAAATATAGGTTACTATTATGCTCACTGATTCCTGAAGAGTCTTTAGTGAAACTTGCTCTTATTTGAGTGTTTCTCCTCTACACATAATCAACAGCTCTATTTCTGTTGGCATGTGTGTTGTTTACCTCTCCTATGCCATTTCCAGTAGATGAATGTATCGCTGCCATGGTGATTTGTATGCTTTGAATGCATTGGGGATGACTGCAGCATTGTGTGCTTGTATTTTGGTGTAAGGGGCATTTTATTATTTTGTCTGGCTATGTTAATTTTCCTTTGCAACAGATTGTGGCTTTTGTGGTTCACCACCATGATCATTGCATGGACTAATTTTTCCTTTTGCTCCCTTCCTCTTCCCTCTACCTGCCATTCCCGTTCCCCCTTCTTTTTCCTCCTTTTGTATTTTCACCTTTCATCTGTGATTATGACCACACTACACCTTTATCTCTTGTCCTTCTTTCTTTCTTTTCTACTCCTGTCCTTCACTCTCTTGCTTATGGCAGCCACCCTTGCATTCTCTCTTGCAGCGGCGGCAGCAGCCGCTCAAGGCCAACGTCTCATAACCTCCACGGGTCAGGTGTTGCCTCCCCAGGGGCTCCGGCCCCAAACACCCGGTGGGGGCCAAATCATGAACCTCATCCGGCAACCTCAAATGGCTGCCATGATGTCCAATGGCACCCCCACTCTGGTGCCTCCCTCACCGGATGGTGGGCTTATCTACACCACCCCTTATGATTACCCTTACGCCCTGGCACCCACCTCCCTGCTGGAGTACCCCATCGATCACAGTGGGGTTCTAGGTAAGAGAGCCTGGGCTAGCATGGGTCCAGCGGGTACAGCCAACTTTGGCCAGCCTGGACACGAGGGCAGCTTTTTTTACCCCGGAGCGGGGATGCTGGACGCGGCTGCCATGAGCCACAGTCAGGACTTATTGAAAGGTAAATATGTCGTGTCCACCTGAAGATGAAAAACAGAGAAACTTACATGGTGGATGTGATGGTGAAGCTCTGGGTGATGAGATTACCAGCTTTGTGGCTCATATGGACACTGTATTAAAAAGGCAAAGGGGGACAAAAAGGACCCTGTGAGGGCTAGGCTCTTGGAAAGTTTTCTTTATAATCTAGACTAAGGTATATTCACAGTTTTAATTACGCTTTCGCCAAACATTAATGCTCTCAGGTTTACATAGCCTCTTTTTCTGCAAGGTTCATATAAGAGGACTTGCCTCGCTGTGAAATGAGGCATGCAGAGAGAGAAACACACTCGCATACACACAGCCTGCTCCCTAACCCCTCCATGCACTGGCCTGCAGGCATATTCAGTCTGGCAGCAGATCCCCTTGGATTTCTGCAGCTTTTGAAATTATTCCTCTGCACTGTTCACTGCAGGCAGGCCTTGATAACTGCAGATAGTTCCCCTCTCACTCTCACTGGTGATGTTCATTAAATTCCTCCAGTCTTCCCTTTTTTTTTATTCTCCTTCCCCTCTCTCCATTGTTATAGCTTCACCCCTCTTGAACTTTAGCTCTGTGCTAACACCTGACGCTCCCCTTAGTTTCTGTGTCAGGAGGACAGTTCAATACAAGGGTCTGTATATTCTATTCACTCTCATTGGTGCTTAAGCTCAACACATCTGCGACCAAAGAGAACCATTTTCAGATATTGATGCAACAGAGTCTGATGCATCATATGTTGTATCGAGGCTTTAGTGAACGAAAGCTAAACGCTTCCCCCTCCAGACAGAAGAAGCCTTCGTCAGTTGCTTGCCAGCTTTAATTTGACACAGTAGTCCTCTAATGTTGTCCCAGGGATCATCAGGCAGCAGCAGATACGAGCGTGATTTTAGCTGACCTGTGTGTTGGACGCGCCTCTGGGAGTCATGTGCAGAACAGACGAGGGCAGCTGACTGGCTTTCCTCTCTTTAACTTGCAGGGTTACACCAGCTTAGTGCATTTTATTTACTCACTCTATCGATTGGTGCCTTCAGCAACACAGGGCCCTGTGGAACACACTCTTGCTCACACATACTCATGCACTTGGTTAAGCTGCCTGTGCTACTGTATCTAGCCGACATTGGCTGCTCTGACAATAAAGAAATGTCAGGCCATCTGCTTCTTCAGAGTAGTGTAGGTGGCTGCGTGGTTATAAGCCAAAACTCCCTCATAACCTGACAATACCAGAAAAAAATCTTTGGAAAACTATAATTTTTTTCCAATGTCCTCTCTACCTTTGGGAGGGCTGGATTTCTTTTCAGTGTTCCTGTGAGCGTCTGGTTTTGTAGCACTTGAACATACAATGACACGCAAACAGTTTGTGTGTGTCCTATACACCAGGCAGAGTCAAGCACTGCAGCAGGAAGGAATCAGTTGTGACATATATAAGAGGAAAATGACAGGCTCTACCGCCAGGGCACAGATTGAGTTGGAAAGAAATGGTGAAAGAGAAAATGAGAGAGAGGGAGAGGCAGGTGCTGTCTGGCACTATTCAATTACCATCAGAGCTGTATTGGATTCCCCCACCTTTCAAAACAAAGAGACAAATTTCTCTCGATTCCCCTGGATCCGAGAGGAAGAATCACATTATTTTTCCCAGACAGCCCAGGAGCCTGTACCCTTTGCCTGCCCCTTTTCAAAGAGTCCTCTATATAACTCTGAGCACTGTGGATTTTTATTACTTAAGTTATGCATTTTTAAATACCTAGTAAAACTCCAAAAATGATTGCGTAGTCTTTTTTTCTACTGCATTTTTTACAAGCAAAAGAAAAGCTCTGTGTGGTGTGTGTACATGTGATATAATCTGTATTATGTTCTATTCTGTGTATTATTGTATTCAAGCATTAGTTTGCTAATGGTTAAAAATGTGAATGTTATTACTGTAAAAGATGACTGTTTTTTTCCCCTGCTCAAAGTGAATGGTTTCTAACCTTGTGGACCTATTACAATCTAGGTGCAATGGCTTCTAAAGTGAGACGGCATGACACGCGGGTCCATCCTTACCAAAGGATTGTGACCGCTGACAGAGGTCAGTTTAGTCTCCTATAGCTACACTCTGCTATTGATTGATGAATTTCAATGATTATTATGCCTGTTATGCCTCAATGCCTTAGTTGGGAATTTGTATCTCGTCTGTATTGTATTTTGTTTTCCTTTCCCCCTGCCACCTCTCCCACCCCATACACCCACACACCAGCTAAATGGTTGATTGTGGTCTGCACATTTTGTTTACATTAAGTACTTAACATATACAGTATATGTGGAAGGTGTATATGTCAAAGCTCAGGCAAAAGTCATTTGAACAGCTTTTGGTTTTTGCAGCTGTGACACCAGGACAGCTAGTATTTAGCAGGCAGCGTCCGCATGTATAATGACATTCCTCTGATGTGAGATTAGAGCCTAAAATGGAGCAGGTTTGTTCCCATACATGATTTATCTCCGTCGCTCATAAGGAGCAAAGCAAAAGGAGAAACATTTCTATACTGTATCTGAGACCTGGTAGGCAGAAGACACGTAGCACTGCTGCTACCGCGCAACATTTCACCTTGAAAATTTAAATTTATTTAGCATTTTATTTTTCTATGGAAGATAGACACACACAGACATAAGCTGAGGTAGCTTGCATTCTCTCCACTGTATTGCATATAGATTGAAAAAAATACATTTAAACATTTCAGTTGTACATGAGGTACTGTCATTTTTATATTTGAGCATTTTATATCAAATGTATTTATGGTTCCTGTGTATATTTATATTATATAAAAAATATACTGCTAAATAAAGAGAAAGAATCGGGAAAGCATCGATTCATCTATTCATTGCACATGTAACACTAGTCACAGTTATCCCTCACATAACATTAGTGAGTCTCCTCACTACTAATCACACTGTTTGTAACGTGCACTCCAACTTTAAAGACACTAAAACACTAGATTTTTGTTCTTATTCTGTTTGTCTGTTCGACCTCTCTTGGCTTCTGTTTGGATTTTGGGGGCAATGTGCGCTTAAATTAAACCGCCAATCTTCCTGGTTCAGGGTGGGGGCTTAGAAGTTGGCATCATGATGGGACAGCGTCATGATTATAATGAGATTAGCCGGGTTCATCTCACATGGCATGGGAATTAGGAGCAGGGGGCGACATAAGAGATTGCATTCATTTTATTGTTAAAATGATGTCATTCCAGTCTCTTCTTGCTGACACTAATATCCTTTCTATCTTTTTTTTCTGTTTGTTTTGTTTTTGTTTCTAACCACCTAGCCGCCACCGGCAACTAACACATGACCTTCTGACCTCTGAACTCTTCACCCAATGACGAGCCGCCCCAAGCCTGCCTGCTGATCAGTTAACTGGTAATTGCCTTTTGCTAGTCTCTCGGACGCAAGTGAGAGAGAGAGAGAGAGAGAGAGAGAGAGAGAGGCGCCTGCCCATACAGTTACCCTAACACTGACAAAACATAGAAACCAACGCAGAATCTTCACAGAAACACAACCAACCCAACAACTGTGTAATATTCATTTTTTCCCTCTGTTCATTGAGTTCAATTCCCATTCTTTCTCTTTCTTTTTCTTCATGAATCATATAGTGGGTGGATGTGTTTGTGATATTACTCATAAATCTGCACTGAATTATATAGCAATAAAGACCCCCACCTGTCCGCCCACCCTCCTTTTAATCACTCTAATTTGGTGACCTCACTTGTTTGAATCAAAGTTCAATGAACCAATCTATTTGATGCAAACCGTTTGGTTTCAGAGTAATGACATCACCCCCTCCCTCTAAACAGAAACACAATTAAAAGCCCCCCTTCCTGCCCCACCCTGTCCCAACACCCACCTATAAGGAGAGAAAAAGAAACAGAAGGAAAGAGAACACACACTCACATTAACTTGTTTAATTTCTGTCATTTTTCACATGTAGTGCAGTTGTTGAGCTCTAAAATGTAGTTATGAGCTGACACATTCTGGGTGTGCCCCTCCAAACAGCTTCTTGTCTGTTTTTAAAAGCATGGCTGAAATGATTGCAAAAAGAGCTTTTTATGATTTATGTGTTTTTCTTGTCTCTTTTTTTTCATTTATTTTTTTTCACTTGATTTTGGTTTCTCTGTTGTTCAAATTTGACTAATTAGCTTTGCCTGAAATTGACAAGCCAAACTGATGCAGGTGATTTCCTCTGGAAAACAAAAAGCAATCTTATGTTTGAAGAAGGCAGCAGTAATAAGATATGATGAGGGGCATGATGGGAAGGTCACTAGTTGGGCTGATGGGTCTGTGTGTGTGTCTTTAATTAATACTACAATGAAAGTAGGGTGTGCTGAGGCTTCGGGGACTTTGGAGCAGAGCTTATTAGCTACTGACCATCGCTACGCCCCCATCCACACTACATCCATTATACAGTGCCTGATGTATTTAGAAAAATATCTCAATGAGTTAGCTGAGCTGTGATTGAAAAGACAAAAAAAGTATTAAGTGTGCATATTTAGCCAAAGGGTTTTCCAATGAATTATATATCTGCAATTATGCATCTGCCTCACAGAGGGCCTCTCTTGTGGTTTCAGAGTTAGGAAGGTGTGAGTTTGTGGTGCCTGCCTTCAGCTGGAGCTCACAGCCAGTCAGTTAGAAGAGTTTTGACCCATTAATGCTATTTTTTCTGAGGTGAACGCAGGCAATTAACACTAAATCCACACGCTACCCAATTACATTACATTGCTAGGGGGAAGGGCACTTTGAAGTTCTGTACATAAATGCTTTTGTCATGAAGCTTCTATATTCAGTTGTTTCATCAGCCACATTGCCAAAAGAGTGTTTGCTCCTTCATGTTCTTCATTTTCGCATCTCAACATTTGGCCTTTATTTTATTATGCTTTTATTTCTAACCCCAGTCATCCGTTGGGACATAAGGGTGGGCATAATCTGAGCCTTCCCGCCAATAAGAAAAATACTTGTTAGTGTTGAATATTTTTGTGGCGAAACATTTATTTTGAACAAATGACGAACCCTCCGAAAGCGCATCCACAATGTCCCCCC